ACGTACATTAGAGCAACATAAACTTGCACAAAAGTGCCCCGGTGTATGACCGGCCTTGCTCTAAAAATGTATCGTTCAAAGACGTGATATATTACTAATGAATGTGGTTAGAAATGTAGCTACCCCCCGCCAGTAAGTCTGAATAACAAGAAGGGTCGAATGTTTATCTTGGTCCCGTCTTAAAGTTGTCAGGGTTGGGGGCGTTTCTTCTAATCATCACTCTCAATTTCCTTGAGGTCACATAACCGGTTTTAATATGTTTTAGTTCAGTTATTTCGCTTGTCTTTCTCTTTGCATTTCTGGAAAAGACTCTTTGCATTGTATTTTTCTTTGTTATTTCTTATGATCCCTTTAGTTTTTACTATTATTATTTATATTATTATCATGCCTGGCAGACAAACGGCCCTGTACTTAGCAAAAAAGTTAGGCAAGAGTGAAAACACCCTTTTCCTATTCTTCCAATCCAATCCAATCCAATACTTCTTTATGAATATGAATTATCCAATTGTCTAGTACAGTCATTCAATGAATTATTCGCAAATGTTAAAAATTATCACAAATGATTCTGATTGGTTCGGTTATTTTTTGCTTCTCAAATGCTCAACAGGTGTGTGCGTTATATTAACATTTCTGAATCTCGGATGAATATACGTAGCCTATGTATAACTCCTACCATGGAGGAATTAGTCCTACAGACGTCGAGCTAGCAGACCGGAGCCTTGCATTGCCGTCTCGCTTACAGTTCATTAGGAGAAAGCTAGATTGGTTAACGAGAGCGGTAATTAGCGAAGAAAAATATGTTTATTTAGTTCATTTAGTTTATAATAATATAGGAGCCACACCTCAAAATACCAAAGTAAGGCCAAGGTAATTCAACAGAAGGACGCACATCTCCGCTCTCGAACATAGCGCGTGCGTACAGTCCTTTGATCTTTACTGTGGCATCGACAATCCGATACTAGTTGCGAGTACAGCCGTCAATTATTAGTCTATGCGTGCCATTCGTTTTATGGTGTTAGTTTTTATTTTATTAATTTAGGGTACTTCGCAATGTCTGTTACATCTGATTTTTTTTTGACCGCGAGCTTGTTAACGGTTTATGGTCTGGTTGCTATGGTTTTTGTGACGTTCAGCGTGTAGGGACGCACTTGCGCCTAGAATGTCGATGCCAGAGTTATAACCTTTGATGTCCCGAGATGTGCGTCCTTCTGTTGAATTGCCTTTGTAAGGCCAAAAAAGTGTTATGTTGCACAGTACTAGCGTATCTTGGAGTATAATGACATTAGGTTGGAGGCCTGAGGAGGACGGGAAATTTAGCGGAATTGGGGGAGGGGGTGGTGTATGCTTGCAAGGCGGCATAGCTAGCAAAATAATGAATTGATATTATTATGAGATCGCATGGGGAGCAAGCTTTCTATTCAGGGTAGGAGTTTCCCTCAGGACCTCGTGACAACACCTTTTCCCCAGTCACATTTAGAAATTAATTCATGGTCGGTAGGCAATTTTTTTTTTGCATGACCTAGGCCTAATTTTATTGTTCAGTGCCAACCAACCCTCTCCCCAAGTATTTTGGCTAAATTCCAAGTTTAGGTATCAACTTCATTATTAAAGCTACATAAGTAAGCTTTTAAACATCACACAATTATTTTTGATTTCTTCTTAGTGAAAAAAAAATATTTTTTTTTCCAAAAGGAAAATCATTCTATCGGGCTTTGGCTATAAAACGTGTATTTGTTTTGATCGTGTATTTCGATATTTCCCAAAGTGAGGCTCTGGAGGAAAACAATGTTTTGATATGTTGTAAAACTGATTTTTCTAAGACACAAAAAATATATTTGACGAAAAACTTGGGAACGGTTAATGCGATGCAGATTTAATATTTAAAGACTGCGGGAAGAAAAAAAGGTGGAAAAATGTGGTGACGCCCCTTATCCCCTAGTTTTTCAGATATTCTAAAACCTGTACCTCATTAACCGTTCCAGAGTTTTTCGTCAATCAATGCTTTCTGTACCTTAGAAAAATCAGTTCTATCAACATATTAAATTTTGTTTCTACAAAGCCTGACTTAATGCACACACCATGAACAATTATCTCCTTGATAATAAATATGATATGATTAAATACATGATATTGCAACTTTCTGGTATGAGTAGGATAATAACGCACCATCACTTTAAAGAGTATCTGACAGTAGGTCTATCGTGGAGCTATAAGCATAGCTCGAAGGTGCTTCATAGGCCTGACTATTATATTACTGTATTATGACCAACTGGGACTATAGTCTGTAGGCCTATTTGAAATCACTATCAATCAACCTCATAATACTCATTCTTTAAACCTTTGATAACAAGGAATAAGAACAAAATTCAATTAATAGAAAATTCATTAAATGTAAACCCATTAAAGTCTTTTAAAAAAAATCGACTTCCGCCGGGTAGGCCTACGCGAACAATTATTTTATTCTGGAATTCTTGTATTATGACGTCACAACATTCCAAATATTTTTTGTCAAATTACATCAAGATCGAATAACGTACGTGATCTTCAAAATGTTTCAAATAATAAAATATAAGGGATTTTTTTTAATCGAAGGAATGTAATACTGGACAAAGTTGTTACTGTTTTAAGTCACGTTTTAATGTTTTATGAGTAACCCTGTATATTCTCAGCAGTGTTGCTAAATAATGTATCGTAATATTTTATCGTACTTAAAGTTAAACTTAATTGTATAGTAGGTGGTTGACTTGAAATTATACCCATTAGCCAATAATAACATACTGTATAACAAGTATATAGTGGGTGTATTATTCATTTCGTTCACATGAATTAATAAAATATTAAGTGGATAAATGAATGAATGAATGACAAACGAATGAACAAACAGTGGGTGGGTGGATTGATGGATTGACGAATGGATGGATGGATTAATGCACGACTGATTACACCTTTTTTTTTTTTTTATAAGAATCAGTAATTTTTTTCCCAGACTCAGTGTTCTTATTATTTTTCAGATTTTAACTCAAAATGTTTCTAATTTTCTTCTCATTTTACGCACTTTTAATTATTATTGTTATTACGGTACTGTATTACAGAGGGTATTGCTTTCACGTCTGCTGCACATACAGTTCTGATAAGATTTGTTTGTTTTTAAAGTTTTTTTCAAATAAAAACCTCATTTGACATTTTAACCGTATTTGGTTCTCAATTTTTAGGCAATTTCAGACTCAGTGTTCTTATAAAATGTGTTCTTTAAAAAGTTTAATGCATGAAAAATGCATGAATGAATGAGCAAATTAACGAACGAGCGAACGAAATGGAAAATAAATGGTTGATCGAACTGTGTATCATAACATAATCTGACACATGAAGTGGATAGAAGTGGTTGGCGCATCGGTTGTGGCTTGGACTCCTAACCTTAAGATCGGGGGTTGGAAACCTTAGGCAAGGCACTTTATCGGTTGTCTCTCTCCACCCAGGAGTAGACCTACAATTGGGTACCTGGTTAGGTGCAAATACACCATGCGCTGATTACTGCTGCAACATTATGGAATTCCCTCATGGGGCCTGAGTGTGTGTTCCATAATGTGCTTGATCATCCAGTGACCGGATGTGGGTGGGGGGGGGGCAATAGCGCATAGAGGTCTCTACAATATGCGCTATATAAGTCGACAATTATTATTATTATTACTATTATTATCATTACATGAACCTCGGCAAGTAATTACCAATCTAAGACCACTATAATGGTTTTTGAAATTCTGTGAATGAATTAAACAAAGATCACAGTATTTATCATGTGTGTAATCCAGATTACAATAATTATTTTTAAATGGAAGTGCAATAAACTACGTCTTAAGGGATTTATAGAGGAAATCCGAAAGCGTTCTAAAATTCTCATGGGCGGTGGTCAATATTCACAGCGTGCATCTCGTCTCATTGAGGATTATAATTATTGGTTTTCACCGTGTTTTATTTCACTAATACCGGTACATTAATATTAGATTTATTAATAGCTCTGATATTACTTCCTCCTCCATACGTTAAAAATATATTTTAGCTTAAGTATTTAAGATAGATTAGAACTATGTCTGGCCCTATTGTCTATGGAAAACGCATCAAACATATATAGGCTAATATATAATTTAATTTTCTAAATTAACTTCATTATGCGTGTAATCAACAATTTATAATTATATATTATAATTATATATTATTTATAATTATATATTATATATAATTTTCTGGGCACTCTGGGAGAACAGTCTTTTTGACTGAAGAGTCCACCCAGTATAAAGAACAAATAAATAAAATATAAGAAGGCTATAACTAGCGTAAGGTTAGCACGAGCGTCGATTGGTGACAGAGGGACACGTCCCTCACATTTCCAAGGACGGACATCATTAGTTGAACCCCCTCCCCCTACTATTCACCATTCAAAGGAGTTAATCAGTAGATAAAAAAATAAGATACATCACATATTTTTATGAATGTTATTCAGCACAAAATATAAAATATAAGTGGGGTTTTGTTTCAAAATTGCAAGGTAAATTAATCACTGATGAATATGCTGAAAAGTAAATAATGTTATCATTAAATCAATTTAATACGACTATACAATTTTAGAACGCCGAGCTTCAGGGGCCTCGCCCCTGAACCCTCAAAGGGGCTTATCCCCTGCACCACCCCACCGGGGGCCATGGGCGGCCCCAGCTAAAGCTTAGGCCTACGGCCCAAGGCTTCCTTCTTTCACATTTATCCCTCCAAAATTCAAGCACTGATCGACGCCCTTGCAGGTCTACGTAAAGTACGCTTGTTTTACTTTCAATTAACTCAATTTCGTTTTTTTTAAAGTCCTCATAAACATGAAAAGCATAGGCCTATGTAAAACAATAAAATACTCAAGTCATATCGAAAGTGCTACTCACCATGTTTCACATTCCATTAAATGGTATACTGATATTACCATTTTCCATAATTATTGATAATAAAATGATACCAACCTTGAGACTGCAACGGATAATAAACAAGCAGATACGAAGATCCTGTCAAGCATGTTGTTATCTTGAATTAGTCGGAGCAGACGATAAAATAATAAACAGTACAGGATATTTGACGAAGAATAGTTCACGGTTCGCGCGTCTCTCGTCGTTTGAAGTGTGTTGAACAACGAATGTTCGAATCCTGTTCCTGACTTGTTTTATACTGACAGGCGGGTTAACAGCCAATCACCCACCACCTATTATGTGATTACAGTAACAGTCAACCTTGGCTAACTCATCTTCAGCTGGTCGACTAAAAAAATTAGCAACGTCAAAGTTTCCAATGCGCCAATCAAAAACATGCGCGCATGTCAGATAGACGAAGAACCGACCAATCAAATTGGAGAACTGATACATCTAAGTTGTTTCTCGTCTGCTGCGTTTATTTTTTTGATCAAAGTGGTTCCGTAAGGAAACATGATGATCGACGATGAGCATGATGGTATGTATTTTCACGCTTAAATGTTTCGTTTTCTTCTACATTTTTTTCCTCATAAATGATCATCACATATTTAGTGGATAATATTGTACTAATTTATCTGATCATCATGTGGAATGTAGGCCTATACAATTAACAAAAATATAAACCTACTGCTGTTTTTAACACATAGTTTGTTAACAACCATTCAATTTAAATTTGGACTGAAAATATTATAATAAATTTCATCACTTATAAAAATTTATTATTTTTTTCTTACCCGTTAGGCGGATTGCTTATTTTTGCAATGCTAAAAGATAAGCATTAACGAACCTAAAAAGTTAAATGACGACATTTTGAACAGGTTGTTTTAATTATTTATTTGAAACAGAATTTATGGAACAATTTGATTTGACTTTTAAACATCATTTATGGACCAATTTTAACATTTTATTAATAAATTGTTGTAATGAATTAACACATTTTTTCATAGTTTTACCAATCGTTGTACAGTTCATAATTCAGTGCTTATATATGTAACATGTGTTTATTTTTATCCGGTACTTTTTGAAATAACGCTACTAGGCCTGAAGTTCACACAAGATGGGCAGCATTAAAATGTAGACATATTTTATTGCCTGCAGCAAATCGTGTGAACATTTATGTATGTGACTGTAGAAGATCTAAACTTAGCACAAAAGCACATTCGATAATTATAAGCACAAGACAACGTCAAGATATCGGAATCCAAGATACATAGCCAATCCTGCTTGCGCAGGCTATCTTAGTCGAAAAGACGAAATCCAATGAAACTGAAATTATAAATAGGCCTACACAAATACTGTATTCTTTAATTAGCGAGTGGATACACACTATTAGATGATACGGTGTTAGACACAAATGCAATATAAATTTAATTATTCTTGACCAAATGGAATCCAATCCAATATTGCCAATTCAACCTTGGTCATTTTAAGTAGGCCTACAGTAGCCACCTTCACTTTCTCCCAAGAGAATCAGTCGTGAATGCTTGAGTCAGCACACTGTCCCGTCATTTAGAGTACCCATTTTCTGGCCTAGATGCGGAGTGAATTCGACCTATTGGACATACTGTAGCTATGTTTTATTCCATTTTTCATTTATTTTTTCTACCATAAAACATATCAGTTTTAGACAAACATATATTCCTTTTTGATATACACCTCAACGTAAAGGTATAATGGCCAGGGGCAGATAAGAGGCCTAGATAAAAATATACTATAATTAAAAGAAGCAGCCACTCTTCCAAACACTAATAATGTTACACAGAAACATTAAAAATATACAGACATAAACAAAAAAAAAGACTAATACACAATACTGTATAATGAGATTTTTAGAATTAGGCCTAAAAATTATTTAATATTCTTTGAAGAGATTTAGTAATTAGAAAACAATTAATAGAATTTTAAAAATATATAAGCCCTAGCCCATTTAGTATTATATTTATATTTAATAATTGCTATGTACATATTGCAGTAAACTGAGACTTACAATAAAAAAATGTAATAGATTAAGTAAAGTTTTTTTTGTTTTGTTTTTGTTTTTGTTTTTTTCTGGAGTTTTTTTTAAGATGTCTTAAATATATCTTTTTGAAGTCCATAATCTTCAACTTTTGTCTATTCCCACGTATTTCATTTTCCTCTGGGAAATTTTAATCATTCCAAAAATAGGAATCGCCATAAGGTTCGTTATAAATGGAACATGATGTTCAATTCAAAATTCAACTGTTGTGAATTTAGGCCAAACATCCCAACAATCTGCACGAATCCCAATAAAACGTTACAGTAGGCCAACGTCTATCATTATTCAGTTATGCACTGCCTGTCATGAGTTCAGAAAAAAAATCAATTAGGCCTACAAACTTAAATTGATTAATTTATATATTTAAGTAGGTTATTAACTTACAATTAAAATTTTGGTTCTGAGAAAAATGTCCCGTCAATTATTAATGGACTGTTAAATAATCCCCCTTCTGCGTTAGTTTGCATAGGCCTAGACCTTTTAAATTAGCTAGTAATCAATTCTATAATTGGTAGAAAATATAAATCAATGAAAGCTTTTTGTATTAGCTCAGTCGGCTAAACTGGTGATACCCATTGTGTGTGCGTTGAACCGTGGAGATGTTTATGTTCCCTTTTCAATTCTCAGCGATAGCGCACCGTCTTTCAGATGAGACGTTTAAGCCGTTGGTCCCGAGTGCAATAGGCCCATGTGCACGTTATTAAAAGGAGTAGGGGCTTGTCTCCCGGTGTACCGCCCAATTGACTACCCGAAGGACCCCAATGGAAACAAGTCTTAGGACTTAGTAGGATCCTTCGTGTGATTCACACCGAAATACTCCTGTCCTATCCTGTTTCTAGTTGGAAGTTCATAACTTATTTAATTCTTTGATTTTTTTTTTGAAGTGCAGTAATTTTTATTTGATTGGCAGACAGTATAGGTTTAGGCCTACTACTAAAGGACTGTATTTCGTACGTAATAGCAAGGAGGTATTAAACCTTCTAGGAAAAAGCCTAAAAGATTTGTTAGAAATACGGTAATCGTCCTTCAAAGTATGGTTAAATGTTAATGAGAGCAAGTACACGGCAGTTCTTTTTTTTTTCTCATACACATAAGGACACATGAGGCGTTGAAGTAAAACGCCCACACGTCCAAAACATCGGTTGATTACTCGGAGGAAATTGACAATAATACAGCGATACTAATCAACGTGTGACAGGTCTGTGTACTCTTGGTAATGAATTAACAAAAACAGAATCCGTTTGTTGATGTTGTCTTTTTAATAAAAGTCAATATACGGTTTTGGTAACAGTCAATAATAATAATAATAATAATAATAATAATAATAATAATAATAATAATATTAATAATAAGAATGGGAATATTGATGATGATGATGAAAATGATGAAGAAAATGATGAGGATGATGAAGTTCATGATGATGGTGGTAGTATGTATTTATAATATTATGGATAATAATTATAATAGTAATATTCATAATATTGATATTAATGTTGAGCTCTTTGAGTTTGATATTTTGAAAGTGGGAATAAAAAAGATGTAGCCCTAAAACTAAACCTATCCTTAGACTAATTTTGACTTAAACTGCGGCCGAGAACTTAAACTATAAACAGTTCCGAAATACATGTGCGCTCTCGGTATGTCCAATACCCACCAATGTAGAAATTTATGAAGCTCCATTATTTAGGAATGTGACATGCAGCTAAATAATAATAATAATAATAATAATAAAAATAATAATAATAAAAATAATAATAATAATAATAATAATAATAATAATAATAATAATAATAATAATAATAATAAAAATCATAATAATAATAATAATAGTAATAATAATAATAAATATTAATAATATTAATAATAATAATAACAATAATAATAATAATAATAAAAATAATAATAATAATAATAATAATAATAATAATAATAATAATAATAATAATAATAATAATAATAATAATAATAATAATAATGTACAGACATGTAAGCATTTTCATACACGAATAAGAGGCTTATACTGCAACAAACTGATTTTTCCCACTTGCCATAAGTACCTTTGATGAATGACATCTGCTATCGGAAACATTCAAGCCAAACCATTTCCTGTCAGGTTGATCTATTGGATAATACGTCCGAGCGCGTCGGACTTTTCAATATCAATAATCAGACAATACGCCCAGGCAAAAATAGAAATGGATGTTTCCCCGCCATCATAATAATAGGCTTCCGTAATAAATCTTTTAAGATTAATTATTTTCTGTTTGTTGTTATTGTTTCGAATAAAGTTATGGAATATTTACATGTTATGTAAGAATGTTTACTTGGTGTCTTCTCGTACACCTTCTCTGCTGTATAATATAATTCTAGGCTTTATTTTACCGTATCATTGCACTTCTCTTCGTGTTTCTTCTTTCATTTTATGAATACAACAATGATGTGGAAAACGATGGCCAAAGGAGATATGGAATCGATAATGAAAGCTAAAATTTTAAGGCAAGTAAAACGCACATAGAAAACCAAAGATTTAGGACAATACACTTTATCAGTGGCTTATATATAATTATTATTTATTTATTATGATAGGCCTATACTTTTATATAAATTGGTTTGGATTGGATTGGATAAAAACGATTATTTTGATCTTCATTTAGGCCATTTCTCAGTTCAATTTTGTTACAATAGTCAAGTGTATTATTCATACCGTATACTTATCATTATGTGGTTTTCTATATTGTATATAATTAGATCGTTAATTCGTGTGTAAAAGGCATGGAATGCCTACGTTGTGACAATAGGCTACTGTAGGGGATAAATTGTCGCAACATTTTGATGACGTAGCCAACGGAATTGGTTATCGTTTTCGTAAGCTTGCGAAACCTAGCTAATTTTCCATCCTTACGTGATCAAAAGCTAATGTAGTTGAATGTGTTATTCCCATGGCGTAATCCTACCTTCAACATTAATCTAGTGAAAGCGTTAAATTAGTCAATAAAATGCCAAGCACCTCTTTTATAGTCTTTTAATTTTAATATTCGTAAGAACAATGACTCCTTTGTCTCAGTAGCACCTGAAATTTCCGTTAAAATAATAATTATCCAGACACTGTGCGTAGGATAATGAAACAGATACATTTTAAACAGTTAGTTGTCTCAGATAGAACTACGAACTCATAGGCACCGCTACAAAATAAAGGTTTTATTTTAAAAGCAAAAATTAATCTGGCCCG